GAAGAGAGGTGAGGGATGAAATGTGAGGGATGAGAGGTGAGGGCAGCACCCCCTAGCACGGGCGTGGCAGGGCACTTGCCTGAGCAGCTCGCCCGGCTGCCCCTCAGCCTGCTCCATCTCCATCTCCACGCCCCTCTCCGCTGCCAGTGCTGCTGCCTCGGGTCCCATGGCGCCCATCACGTCGCTCGCAGCCCCCAGCTGCGTGCGCCACGCCTCCTGCACCTCGCCCTCCCGCCCCTCCGCGAACGCCAGCTCCGCGTTCAGCCGTGCCAGCTGCCACCACCACACCACCACACGCCGCATGGAGCGAGGAGGGGAACAGGACCAGAGGGAGGGGGAGGCAGGGGGGAAATGTTAAGTCCCAGAGAACCCTTGCCTCCTCAGCCATACTGCCATGCGACCATGTCCTATGCGCCATGCGACCATGTCCTATGCGCCATGCGACCATGTCCTATGCGCCATGCGACCATGTCCTATGCGCCATGGCTATCCTTCCCCCAACTTCCCCCCGCCCCCCCCCCCCATCCCTCCTCCTGCCCCCCCCCCCATCCCTCCTGCCCGCCCCCCATCCCTCCTGCTCCCCCCATACCTGGCGGGCCATCTCCTCCATTTGGGCGGAGAACACAGCAGCGCGCGAGGCCAGATCCGAGTCCTGGTTGCGCAGCGCGGCCAGTTTCGCCTCCACCTGCTCCGTGCGCGCGCGCTGCCGCGCCTCCTTCTCCGATAGCTCCTTCACCAGCGCCATCAGCTGCTTCGCGCGCTCCCCGCTCGCCACGCCCTCCGCCGCGCGCTCCGCCTCGCGCATGCGCAGCCGCTCCAGCTCCCCGCTCAGCTGCCCCACGCGCGCGCCCGCCTCCGCCGCGCTGCCCTCCAGCGCCTTCACCTGTTCTGTCAGCAGCCCCGCTGCGCGCGCGGATACCGCCTCCTGCTCCTCCGCCTTGCGCGCGCGCGCCTCCAGCTGCGCCACTTGCTTCTCCAGCACGTCCGCGCGCCCCGTCGCCTTCTCCGCCACGCTCGTCGCCGCCTTCAGCCGCTCGCTCAGCTGTTGCACCTGCGCGCCCAGCGCCGACATGCGCTCGCGCGCGTCTTGCGACTCGCTCACGCTCTCGCCCTTCTCCCCCTCCAGCTCCCGCAGCGCGCGCCGCTTGTCCTCCTCCGCGGCCAGCGCCGCCGCCTCCGCGCGCTGCGCGCGCTGCTCCTCCTCCTTCACGCGCGCGCTGAGCGCGCCGATGCTCTTCTCCGCGCGCGCGACGGCCGCCCACTGCTCCTTAACCTCATCCTTGGCGGCCTGCAGCTCCATGCGCAGCCCCTGAATCACCGTCGACGCGCGCCCGCCGCGCTGCTCGTCCGCCTCCACGCGCGCGCGCAGCGAGCGCACTTCCCCCTCCAGGCGCTCCTTCTCCTCGCGCCCCTGCTGCTCCACGGCGCGCATGCGCTCCCCCAGCAGCTCCATGCGCTCGTTCGCCTGCGCCAGCGCCTCCGTGTACAGCCGCTCCTTGCGCTGAAGCGCCTCCACCTGCCCCGTCAGCTCCGCCACCTGCTGCCCCGCGCGCTGCAGCGTCGCCGCCTGCTCGCCCGCCACGCGCGTCACCCCCTCCAGCTCCTTGCTCAGCGCCGCCACGCGCCGGTTCGCCGCCGCCAACGCCTCGCTGCTGCCCGCGCCCGCCGCGGGGGGGGCGGACTGCGGCGGCGCGGGGGCCTTGGCGGAGTCGCTCCAGCGGATGGGCGTCAGCAGGCGCTGCGGGGGGCGCAGGGCAGGGCGCGGTAGCAGGGCGGGGAGAGAAACAGTTGGGTGCGGTGCGGGCACCGGGGTACGTGCAGAGGGGTTGAAAGTTGAAACAAAGCGAGTGAAGGGCTGAGAGTGAAGAGGCGAGAGTGCATGTAAAGGGGCGAGAGGGCAGAGGCGCCTTACCTTGGCGGGTCCAGCAGCCCTCCGCTCCGCCTCCTCCGCTACCTGCTGCTCCCTCGCCTTGCGCTCCGCTGCCTGCAGTGGGGACAAGCAGGGGTGCAGTGCGGCGCCATGAGATGCAGTGCGGTGAGACGTGGCAGTGAAGGGCCAGAGAGAGACCAGCGTGTAGAAAAAGGCAAGCAGGCGCGGGTGGGGAAGATGACGTGAAGCAGAGGCGAGGGGAGGGGCGAGGCCACGGAGAGCGCTTGAGGATGGAGGAGTGGAGGGGTGGAGGGGTGGAGGGGTGCACTAACCTGGGCGATAGACTCTGCGAAGCTGACGTCAGCAGCGAGCCATTTGGCAAAGGCTTCGTTGATGTACGCCCGCTGGGCTTGCTGTGTGTACAGAGCCAGGGGGAGAGTAGCGGGGCACAGAGACAGGGGGAGACAGGGAGGGGGGGAGAGACGTGCGCAGAGTGGGGGGAAGATGTGGTGAGCTTGCCACACGGTGGGCTTGCTGCGCGCACAGAGACAGGGGGGGCGTTGAGGCGGGGGGGTAGCGGGGCACGGAGTGGGGAGAAGAGGGGGTGAGGAGGGGAAGCTGGCGAATGCGAGATGAAGGGATTCGCAGACTGGGAGGTGAGCAGCACGCGAGCATAGCAGGGCGAGGGGAGGGAGGGGGGAAGGCAGGGGGGAAGGCAGGGGGGAAAGGGAGGTGGGGAGGGGAGCGCACCACCCAGTCGGAGTTGGAGTCGCCGGGCTGCCCCGTGCGCTCGCGCTGGCGGTAGATGCTCTCCGCTATCTCTATCACGCGCGCCGTCGCCCCCGCCAACACCTTCTCCATCGCCTGCCCGCCGCACGGGGGCACGCGGAATGGGGAGACAAAGGCACGGCGGGGAGAGGGAGGGATGGCATAACGTCAACATGCAGGCGATGAATGACATGCAGGCGATGATGGCATGCAGGCGATGAATGACATGCAGGCGATGATGACATGCAGGCGATGATGGCATGCAGGCGATGATGGCATGCAGGCGGCAGGAAATAGAGCGTGTGGTCATCGTGCTGTGTACCTACGTACGTACCCACACACCTTCGAGCGGCCCTGCCAGGCATGCAAGCGCCAGCCTGCACGCATCGCATCGCATTGCATCACTGCACTCCCTTCCACTGCGCTCCCTTCACCTCTCCGCAAACCGACCCCGCATGCCTCTCATGGGAATCCCGCATGCATCATTCCCCCTGTCCTCCCCCTCCCCCCTCCCCCCTCTCCCCTCCCCCCCGCGCACCTCCGTGAGCACGCCCATGGGCGGGCTGATGCCGGCGCGCCTCTCCGCCACGAGCGCGGACGCGGCATCCGCGGGCATGCCGCGCACGAACATGAGGTACCTGCGCGCGCAGCACGGCCGATGCACACAGAACAGACAAGGGACGAGGGGGGTGCTCAAACAGTCGGCCACTCATGCCCGTGCGTTGCCACACGCTTGTAACCATGTTACCGCTCAAATGTTTTATTCCATTTCACCATTGCTTCGCTTTACCCATGTCACCGTTTTCTCGCTTTACACGTGTACCCCCCCCCTATCTCACGCGCACCCGGCCTTGGCCCCCCCGGCCTTTTGAGTCGACTCAAAGCTCACCCGACGGCGATGAGCGGCGACTCACCCGATGGCGATGAGCGGCGAGATGCGGTCGCCCGACGAGCACTGCAGCACCACCGTGTGCCCCGCCGCCACCAGCGCCGACACCACCCGCACCACCTGCGGCAGCATCAGCGCCTGCCGCCCATGGGGGAAAGGGGTGGGAGGGAGATTAGAGTGGAGGGGAGAAGCGACCGATAGAAAGAGCGTTGAGGGGGAGCGTTGAGGGGGAGCGGAGCAAGCGGAGACAAAAGACGGAGGACAACGAGGAGAGGCCATGGTAGTCGAAGCATTTCAAGCACCTTACCTGCACCGTGGCGGCGTGCGCCTCACCTGCTCCGTGGCGTCGTGCTCCTTGACGGGCACCCACACGGCCACCACGCCTTGCTCCTCCAGCCGCCGCCGCTCCTCGTCCCAGCTGCTCCCGCGCGCCTTCATCGCGCTCTCCTCCTGCACGCCGCCACCAAAGGCACACGCACGCCATGTCAGCACGCGTAGAAATGCCCAGGAGATGTGAGCAAGTATGAAACGGCACGGGCGTTGGCATGCGCGACGGGGTTGAGTGCGATGCGCGCCGCGGCGTGGGCGGGGCAGCGCGTACCTCGACGTTAACGACGGCCGTCATGCCGAACTGTGTCTGCAGCGCGCGCACGTCCTCCGCGCCCGCCGTCGTGACGCTCCCGCCGATGGCCACCTGCTCCGTCACCGCCGACCACAGCGGGTCCGCGCGCAGCACTGCGCACCCCACGCGCGCGGGGGGACACCACCGCGGCGGATGGCACGAGGAAAGGGGGGAAGGGAGGCAGAGGGCAGAGGAGGTCGTAAGGAAATGGGGATGACTAGTACTGGCGGGGTCAAGACATTTGCGCGGCACGGGGGCAGGAATTAAGCAGAGGAGGGACGACGGTTCTGGAAGTGCAGAAATTCTGCCCGAAGGGCAGGGCAGGCGCGCGTCCATCCCCATCCACCTACCCGAGCCGTTCAACTGGAGCCGCTCGCTCTGCGGAGTCTCCGCTTCGGCGCTCACGCGAACAACCGCGGACTTGCGCCCACTGTCCGCGCGGCCCCCGGCTGAAGGGAAGAGCGCGGCGGAGGAGGACCTGAGCGCGCGCAGCTGGTGCGCTTGCGGGGCAGCGGAATGCAAGAGCAGCGCGGTTGCCGGGAGGTGGTGAGCGGTGTCGAGGCGGTGAGCGTGGCATGACGCGCATGGCTGCAGGTCCGCGCGCAGCACGGCTTTGGAGCTTGCGCCGAGCGCGGAAAGCATGGTGGCGCTGGAAGGCTGCGAGCGGCGAGCCTATGTGCTGCGGTTCGAAAGATTCGCTCCAAGAGAGACAAGCACGCTGTTCTTTTCGCGGCTGCAGCGTGGCTGGAGGGCTCGACTGGAAGCAGCACACGAACCGGCGTAGCGCTGTAGACGACTAACTTGGGTTGATAGATACGAACTTCACATTTCCAAGACATTTGTTCCGTGGTGGTGCAACAGACGCCGAGAGAGCGCGAATTGGTGGAGAGGAGGGGGGATTGCAAGGGGTGAATGTGGCGTGCAGGAGGGGGGTGCATTCGTTTGTGGTGGCGAGAATGCGTTTGGACTGATTTGAAGGTAAGGGGGGCCGAACGACGGTCACCAACGAAACGATTCGCGCCCTCGAAACTTCGTTGGAACACCAGTCGCAGATATCGGTCTCCCTGGCAACAACAGGCCGAACGGGCAGATATTGACGTCAAAATCTTCCGCCACGTTGGCGGACTAGCTGTTTCAAGTCCCCCAAAGAGTGGGTTCAGGAACTTGCCACATCTGCCGTCGATCTCTACAGCCCTCGCCCAATCGTGGGGCTCCCCAGCACAAGGGGAGCGTCATTGGCCCCTAGCGTCGAGCCGCTTCGCGTGGGCACAAACCCACAGCCAATGCTGTGCGGTGTAGGCCGAATTCAGGGGTCAAGGATTAGAGATGGATCAGGTGGCTGACAGTCATCGAACACTGCTGCCGCCCACCAGATGCTGCATCCTCGCCAAGGCTCGCAACTCTCTACAGTGTTGTTCTACAAATCCAACCCTCAACCAAAATACATGCTATTTGACCTAGCTTTATCAAGAGCCAATAATTATGATCACCATCAGAAGTATGCATACACACTCAGGAACCAAGCACACTCCATGCTTGATACAATTGCTGCTACAGGCGCTCCATTGCCATAGAGGCGAGTGTTGCTCTCAGGAAGGTCATTGGGGTTGCGCATCGCCAGACGACTTCCCTTGTGGTGGCACCTTTCTTCGCTTGCTCTTGTCCTGCGGGAAACATGCCAGTTCCGACGCCAACATACGGTACAAAGGAAAAGAGCACTGTCGAAGTGAGGATTTGCGAAAACTATAAAGTGCGCCACATCCACGCACGAGAAGCACCTAAGAAAAACAGTGGTGCATTCATGCACGCATGCAAGAGGCGTGTACCAGCGATGAGAGCAGAGACGAACTCCTCCTGCAGCGCTGCCAGGCGCTCCCCCTTGACCCGCGCCTCCTCCTGCATTCAGTCCATCTGCTCCTTCATGCTCCGTAATGCCTGTCACCCCCAGTCCCCAGACAACGGGAGTTGATGAGGGTCGTATCCCATGGCAAGGGAGGGCAAGGGGGGCATGAAGCACAGGAAACAGCCCCTCAGTCGCAGCATCGGTACTGCACCACACAAACTCATCCACCTGATAAGAGAAACTGGCGGGTGTGAGCAACACGGATCACCTGGCGGGTGTCAGCAGCGGCGGAGAGCATGTGAGCGCTGCGCTCAAGCTCTCTCTTCATGAGCCCCAGCGCCTGGTCGCGCTTCGCCACGCCCCGCCGCAGCGACTCCCTCTCCATCTCCAGCTCGCGCGCCCTTCATTCCGCCTCCCTCAGCGCCTGCAGGAAGGGTAGACAGTGGTGGTTTTGTGTGGGTGGGGAGAGTGGTGGTTTTGTGGGGGTGGGGAAAGTGGTGGTTTTGTGGGGGTGGAGAGAGTGGGGGTGAAGCATCGACTCCATCTCCAGTTCCCACGCCCTCCTCTCAGCCTCCCGCAGCGCCTGCCCCCCGCCAGGCGAACCACACACAAATAGAGAATCGGGGAGGGGTGCGGAAGGAAGGCGGGAGAGTGGTGGTTTTGTGTGGGGAAGAAGGGCATACGGGAAGCAAGGGAAGGAGGGTGAAGCAGCAATGAGATGATGCGAGGCCCGGCACAAGCATGAGCGTTGCCCTCACACCCACCACCTCCACCCCTCTCACCACACCACCCGCCAATGACTGACGAGCTCTCCACCCGCCAATGACTCACCAGCTCGGCGCGCTGGGCGCGGATGTTCTCGGTGGTGTCGCGGCGCAGGCTCTCCACCTCCGCCTCGCGCTGCTCCAGCTGCTCCACCAGCTCCGCCTCTCGCTCCCGCGCTGCATTCAGGTCCTGCCACCACCACAAGCAGGGTGGGTGGGCGGGCAGGGGACAAGCATGGGGAGGCTTTTGAGTCAAATCAGAAGCTGCTCCGCCTCTCGCTCCCGCGCTGCATTCAGATCCTGCCAGTGCCACCAGGGTGGGAGAGGGACAAGCATGGGGAGGCACAGCTGGTGCAAGGGGTGAGCGTGAGGACCATTGAGCAGAGCTCATGACCGCTCGTGATCCTTGCAATGCTTACTTGGCTACTCACTCCTGTCTTATTGCACATTCTTCTTACCCTCACCAGTTTCTCCTCTCACCCTCTTTGCCTTACCATCCCATCCCATGTGGCCCCGTGCCTGCACCACCCAGCAGCACTCCCTGCCGCCCACCTGGTTGATCTATGCAGCGGTGCGCAGGGCGTCAGCAGAGGAGACAGCATCGGCAAGAATGTCACTGAGCAGCTGGTCCTGCTGCCGCACCTCCGCCTCCAATGCCACCACCGACCCCTGCAGCGCTGCTATCCGCGCCTCCGCCCCTGCTAGCTCCTGCCCTCCGCTGCACACCACACACCACACACACAGGGGGGGGAAGGGGGCAGGCGGAAGAGGAGAAGAAGGGGAAAAACAATTGACGCAGGGAAGAAGGGGAGAAGAGAAAGAGGGGATGTGTGAAGGGTGGAAAGCGAAGCACGGTACGGGGAAGGGGGGAAGGGGGGGAAGTGAGAGAGAGTGCGGATGGAAGGAGGGGTGGTGGAGTGGGCGAGGCAAGGCAAGTCTGTTGCCATATGTGACCTTGTGAGTGTTGGCAGCAGCGAGCAGCATCTCAGCGTTGGTCTGAAGAAGGCTAGCACAAGGTATGGGGCTCCAGCGGGTCTGACCTTGCGAGTGTTGGCAGCAGCGAGCAGCATGTCAGCGAGCACCATGTCAGCGTTGTCTGCATGTCAGCGTTGTCAGCATGTCAGCGTTGTCAGCATGTCAGCGTTGTCAGCATGTCAGCGTTGTCAGCATGTCAGCTTTGTCAGCATGTCAGCTTTGTCAGCATGTCAGCGTTGCGCATGGTCTCCCCCTTCACCGTGCTGGTCCCCCCCTTCACCGTGCTGGTCCCCCCCTTCACCGTGCTGGTCCCCCCCTTCACCGTGCTGGTCCCCCCCTTCACCGTGCTGGTCCCCCCCTTCACCGTGCTGGTCCCCCCCTTCACCGTGCTGGTCCCCCCCTTTACCGTGCTGGTCCCCCCCTTCACCGTGCTGGTCCCCCCCTTCACCGTGCTGGTCCCCCCCTTCACCGTGCTGGTCCCCCCCTTCACCGTGCTGGTCCCCCCCTTCACCGTGCTGGTCCCCCCCTTCACCGTGCTGGTCTCCCCCTTCACCGTGCTGGTCTCCCCCTCGTGTTAGAATAAGGGCGCGTGTGATTTTGGATTTTGCCATAAGTTTATGTTTTTGACTCGATTTAAGCATTTGAACATGACTCGACTTTGAGCATTGGCAATGTTCGAACCGCAGGTGACAATGCTTGTAGATTCACAATCACACACGAAAGTGCGAATTTGCAGGTTCGAGCTTACAGGGGGGGGACCGAGCCGCCTATAGGGTGCGTAGGTTACCCGGTATTCTTCTATTGACAGCGCGACACGTCAACGAATCGCCCCTAAACAAAATTAACGCTAGACCTCCACCTCGACATTGCTCAAGGGACAGTTGTTCACGATACAAATATCGGAGTGCTCGGCCAGGTCTCCAACTCAGCATCACACAATGACTCTGATTCAACTTGTGCGCTTTCTCGGAATTGTGCTTCAAGGTTACATGCGATGTTTCCTGCTACCTGCTCTCTCCGCCATTGGTGCAGCCATCCCTTCGCTCGTCGCCGCATTCAGTCTGCGACAGACCCGTGTGTTCGTCCGTGGGGATCGCCTCGATGCCCGCGTGCGGTGGTTCAACCTGATTACCCTGCTGCCCGAGTCTACATTTTACGAGTACATGCGCGTGGACAGGCGTGTATTCATTTACCTTGTGCGTCAGCACCAGCTCCGCAGCTCCTCAACGCGAAAGCATCCCGTCCACGATTTCATATTTGTAGCGTTGGGACTTAACCGACTTGGACATGGACTTCCATTTCGTCATCTCGGTCTGCAGTTCGGGTATTCCTACTCTCACGCCCAGAAACTGTTCACGCAGTTTGTTGACTTCGTCAACAGAGTCTTACTGGAGAAGTGGGTCATCTGGCCTGACTTTGAAATGTGTCAAGTCTTTGAGCGTGAGTTTCGTAATGAGGCGGGTATTCCTGGTGTCGTAGGTGCCATGGATGGCACATATGTTCACTGCCGTGGTCAGGGGCCACATTGCGAGGATTTTAGGAATAGGAAGGGTGCATTCAGCATAATTGCACAACTCATCTGTGACTGCAGTGGCTACATCTACGACTTCTACGTCGGATGGCCGGGAAGTGTCAACGACGCTCGGGTCTTCCAGCACAGCCCGGCAAGACACAAGATTGAACTGGGCGGTATCTACGACTATGCCATCGTCTCCGATGCGGCCTATGGTCTACGGGATTACATCCTTACCCCCTACAGGGCGCTGCCAGGGCGCGGACTCCCGGACGAGCAGCGCGTGTGGAACTTGCAGCAATCCCGCGCCAGGATGATTGTCGAACAGGTTAACGGGAGGCTGAAGACGCGCTGGCGGATGCTGGACGGGCGCTTGGAGTGCGACATTTTCCGCGCCCCGCAGTACGTCTCTGCCTGCATCGTTCTACATAATATCGACCTGCTTCTCGGCCCCCGTCCTCGCCTTCTCCCTCCGCGTGAGCGCAACACCTGGTGGCAGCACGGCCCCGCAGCCGAAATGCCGCACTTCTCGCCGCGGGACGAAGGCTTCACTCCGACACGTCGTCGCGCTCGGATGGCGGCGTGCCACTACGCTTCCTGGAGGCTCGGACATCCTGAGCAGACTCAACCAACTCTTGGGTACGATCCATGAATGCGGCAAATTGCTCCTGCATGGCACCTGTCACTGATTGAGCAATTATTCCTGCTATTTCCCTGCACAATGTCGAATCACTAGCATTCATCATATTTCCCAAGGCATGTTCACCCGGGTCATTGCCTGTGTTGACTTCGCTTCCAGTCGCAGGCCCAGGCCGACGGTTGACACCACGCCCACGGAGCGAAGCTCCCGTGCGCGCACCGAGGACGTGTGAGCGGACGGGAGAGGCCGTTGTGGCGGCATCGGTGGGCTCGTCATCCGACACCCGGGACGCTGGCGGCTGAGTTAGCGGCGGGTTCAACGGGGATCCACTCGGCGATGATGCCGTGCGCTGGCGCAAAGGGGTGCGAAGCCTTGCCCTCGGCCGAATTGGCGCTGCAGATGCAGCGTCTTGAATCGCTGTTGCCGGCTGAGTAGGCACGGCACGATCTATGACGAATGTGAAGGGGTGGGGGTGTAGCGGGAAGGGTTAATGCGGCTCAACAGTGTTGTTAGGGGTTAAAGTTTTTTGCTGTGAATTGACGATTGTTAAGCAGCAACTACTTTATTGACATTCATACATTCGGCAAACTCATACTTACTTGCACTGGTGCTGGTAGACGGCAAGTTCAGGACATTAGCGCCAGGCAGGCTACCGGCAAGCGCGGGCGGACGAGCATTTGCGCGATCGCCCAAAATTCTGTCGAAGATATCGTAGAAGATGGGCAGCTTCGAGGGGCGGCCCTTGCCTGATGCATTGAGCAGTAGATCCCCCACACGCCTATATTGCGCCTCCATTCGGAATACCTTTGCCTTCACGGCGGCCAGATTGTGGCGGAATTCAGGGTGGCGCTCCCGCAGCTTCTCGAATAACATCACGTCCCGGTTTTGCCCTTGCAGGCGGGTCTGGCCGCGATACTGCGCGTCGTAGTCGTGGCGAATCCACGCCAGCTGCATAACCTCGTGCGCCTCCCAGCGGGACCTGTCTGTCGCCATTGCAGGGTCGGTATCTTCGTCGGGAGTGTCTTCTACGTCACAGTCAACTTCTCCGGCGTCAAAATACGCCAGCGAGTTGTCGTTGGCGTTGAGCGGGGTGTTGTGTGCGGGAACACGGGCAATCACTTGGTCGAGATCTATCACGTCTAAGCGGCGAGCAGTGGTATTGTCGACGCACCGCAGCGTTTGCAGAAACGGGAGCAGCGGTAGGTGCGGTGGTTCCATGGGCATCGTCCTGTGACGCGGACAATGCATACGGGACTACGAGAGGGTGGAATGTGCACATACTTTGAACCGTGGGAGTGGCTTCACGTTGGGGGTGTTGATAGTTGAGGCTGTTTCAAGATTGGTAGGCGGGAATTTCACAGCCAAATCGCCTGCGCCGGATGATACGCACTCACGAACCGTCATCGTGCCACGACGCATGCCACGTGGTGGGCTTTGCGCGGGGGACTCTGCTACGGGTGTCGTAAGTGCCTCCATTGGTGCACGAAAGAGTCGCGAGCTTCGCTGGTTCCTCGTACGTGCCTGAAACCACACACGTTCGGTTCAGTGTGCTACATAAAGTTTGTGCGTATATTCGAATCTTGTTCACATTTGTATGTTCGCACCTGGTACTCTTGAAATTGGAGTCACCATTGGCGAAATCTCCTGCGAACATTGGCGAAACTGGTTACCACCTAAAGTTCGACCTTAAATACGAACCCAAAAAAAAATCACACGCGCCCTAAGGAACGGAATGAATGAACTAGAAAGCAGGTGGGTACAAGTAGGAAACCTAAAAGTGTTGTACCCTATATGAACTACCCCACTACAGCCTAGATAGACTATAGCATATAAGTTTGACACACCCCCATAGGCAAAGTGGGGGAGAACAAGAGGTCACAAGACCAGTCAAGAAAAGCAAAGCAAGCTCAGGGTGGATCACAAAGTCACCACGCAGTCTGAGCACAAGCAAATGGCCACAAGGCCAGTTCACATGCAGAGTTCTATTTAGGAAAACAAACAATACAGTGAACACAACCAAGCAAGTCTAAGAATGCAGGTATATGTATAGAGAGTACAGTACAAGCAGAGTCAAGAAGTAAGCAAGTGAGGCACAGTAGGTACAAGGCCTAGAACAGTGCAGAAACTCTGATGATCACAAGGCTGAAGTGCCTTGGTGAAAGCATCAGCTGTGTTGGCCTGAGAGGCCGCGTAAGCAAGACGAAGCTGACCACGCTGTTGCAACTCTCGAGCAAGGAAGTAGCGCAGAGCAATGTGCTTCGTTCTGTGCTCCAGTCTGTGCTCCTGACACAAGGCAAGCATGGCCTTGTTGTCGACGTACAGAACTGGAGGAGAACGAGGCGCCTCTCCCAAGTCGGTCAGCAGGTAGGTGAGCCAGCGTAACTCCTGTGCAGCCATGGCCCCAGCGTAGATCTCAGCCTCACAACTGGAGCTGAGAACAGAAGAAGAGCGGGTAGACCGCCAAGAGACAGAACCGGAGCCAAGACTAAAGGTGTACCCCTGTGACGACTGCTACGTAGCCAAGTCGTCAACCCAGGAAGCGTCTGCGTGACCAGTGAGGACAAATCAAGCCCGTCCTCCAAGCACGAGCCCCATGCCCGACGTACTGCACAGGTAGCGTAACACCTTCTTCGCAGCATCCCAGTGCACCTTTTGGTGTCGACCGGGAGCCACGTAGTGAGCCAGAAGGCTGAGAGGTTATGCGAGGTCAGGTCGTGTGCAAGTCATCAGGTACATGAGGCAGCCCACAAGCTCTGGATATGGGCCACTCGGCTCTACGGACTCGTCCGAAGGTGGAGCTGAGAGCGAGTGACCAGTAGGCAGAGGAGTGGACTGTGGCGAGGAGTACGTGAAGCCGAAGCGCTGAAAGACGTGCTGCACCATGTGTGACTGAGTCAAGGTAATGGTGCGCTGTGCTCTGTCCCGGGTGATCCGCAAGCCAAGATAGCTTGTGAGCTTACCCAGGTCTGTGCACGTGTGTCTCTTCTGCAGCTCGGACTTCACGTGGGCGAGTGCCTCAGTGTCAGCAGTAGCAAAGACGAGGTCGTCTACGTACACGAGAACGTAGAACGGCGGCAGAGTGGTGTCAGTGCGTAAAATTAGCGACGGGTCAGCAGTGGAAGGAGCAAACCCAAGAGAAGCAAGAGTCCTCCTCAGCGTGTCGTGCCACTCACGGGGTGCCTGGCGGAGACCGTCGACTGGCCGCCGGAGGCTCTACTGGGTACCAGCAGGAAACGACCCAGTGAAGCCTGGTGGGCGGCGCAGCCAGATCTCCTCGTGCAGGCTGCCCTGTAGGAAGGCTGTGCTGAAGTCAAGCGAGTGGAGCTCGTAGTCACGGTGAGCGGCGACGTGCAGCCGTACCCAAAGAGTGGTCATCTTCGGGGTAGGGGAGAAGGTGTGGAAGAAGTCAACTCCCTGTCGCTGACTGAAGCCACGTGCAACGTAACGCGCCTTGAAAA